AACAAAATTGAGAGTAACATTCTCCGCTCTGCCACTTAATGTTCTCTGGTCGCTATGGTAACAGTCCGTGGCCTGGGGGTTTGGGACCACTGGTCTAACCTATTCTGTTGCATATGCTGCATAAAATAGCACTATCCGGTCTTAAAGTCTGATGTTATTAGTCATGTTTGGACCCAAACTCTGCTGCAGGTCCCAAAGTCAAACGAACAATGCGGCATCACTGAGAGTTGAAAAACCGTCTAAATTCTTCAATCTGTAATAATATGTTGGCTGCTTTACCAGGTGTAAAAATTAAGTTACCAGGCATCCATGAAAACAGAATTTATTAAATTTAACAGAGTTAGAAGTTAGCAGGGAGTTAGCTCGCTAGTTTCCATCTCAATATAATATACCATGACAGAGATTCCTGAAAAAAAATTAAGACGTACAGCCCTGCTAACACTTCCGATATATAAATGAAGTCAGGGAAGTAAACAGCAGTGACGTTTGTAGGGTTACTGAAGTTGGGCCAGCTGGTATATAATGATGTGCTACGTGATCGCTAGCGACACAGCTATGTTAGCATAACATAAACACAGTGAAGCTAGAGGATGAACACTAACGTTTTTCCACTCAAAAGTTAAGTTGAGGGTTCCAGATGGTTAGGGATAAAAGAAATCGCATGGCAGGATGTTATAAACAGACCAAACTTCAGTCAGGAGAACAACTGAGATAATCGATCCACAATACGAGGTTAGTCATTAATTTACTGCTGCATGAGCTGGGCTGTAGTTACTACGTATGGTTTTAAAAACAGAGCTTTAAAACGAATAGCGGTAATAAAAACCAAGAGAGGAAGACCGTGATCACTGACTGTTTTTAGGACTTGTTGAGATTAAATAGGACAAGATACAATCATTTTGACATCTATGATTATTATTCCTTACATTGAGGTAAAAATAATTATTCTTTCACTGATAAATTAGCAAACTGCAGCAAAAAAAGTAGACAAATGTTTAGGAGGACTTGACAGCGCTAGTTGTGGGCTGCCAAGCTACATGTAGTTACATCTCCAGCGAAGTGCATAGTGTAGGTTATGTCGTAGGGTTTCCATGGGTTTGCGTATCTACACCAGTGACTTGAGACAGAAGCATAAATCCTTGTAAGGCAAAAGTAATGTAACAAATAGTATAACAAATTATTTTCTTCAGAGAGATGTATTATGTATGGAGAAACCTTTTTTCTAATTGCTGCATAGTGGACAGCTTTCTGTATTGAGCAAAAAGAAACTCATCTCATCGATCAGCGGATATTACAGTCACACTGTAGTTAGGACCATTTTATATATGCTCTGGTCAAAAGCTAACATGCAATCATTATGGGGATGAAATTCATGATAAATTTGAGCTTTTAATGATTTCCTTGAACGCTACTTTTTCCAGGGTGCAATGACTGCACAGCATACATCTTTAGGGACTTTAGAAAACAAAAGCTGGGTGAACAAGTCTGAATTAATTTTGGATTTTCTCTAATCCACACAGGGTCAAAAGTATACATACATCCCCACATGGTTAAATGTCACCTTAGGAAGGTGCACATCAACCAGATGTTTTTGGTAGGCATCAACAAGATTCTGGTATAATTCTGGCTAAATATTTGATCCCTCTTTTTGGAAGAATTGGGAGTTGATTTAAATTGATTGGTGTCCTGGCACTGACCCGGCTTTTAGGCATAGTCCACAGATTTTCATTAGGGCTGAGGTTTATCTTTGGGAAGGCTATTCTAGCAGCTTCATGTTCACCTCCTTTATCTATCCCAAACCATTTTTGATACGTGTTTGGGATCATTGTCCTATTGGAAAACCCAACTGTGTCCAAGTTTCAACTGTCTAGCAGTTGGTTTGAGGTGACATTGAAGAATTTGTAGATAAACCTCCGTCATTATTATTACATTATTACCAGTACCACTGGCAGCAAAACAGCCCCAAAGCATGATGCTACCACCGCTACCGTGATTGACAGATGTTAGTGTTCCTAGGCTGGAATGCGTCACCTTTAAGGCCCCAGTACAGGGCTTTGGAGCGTGATGTCACGGGGGTGGGCGTGGACAGGATTTTGGCCTGATCCGCCATTTTCCGGGTCCAAACAAAGCACAAGCAAAAAAGGACCGAAGGCACACACAACAGCCAGGATTCGTACTTGCTGTGTGGTCGGCTGCAATGTTCGATCGCTGGAATAAGCTTAAAAAGGGTTTGTCTTTTTATTCTTTCCCAACCTGGAAGCAACATGAGGGAGCTTATATGGTGGACCTTACAAAACGAAGGCATCTAGCCTGGATAGCAGCCGTGAGACGAGCTGTTATCCAGTTCGCTTCCATCTCCAGATATCTGTTGGTGTGCTCCAGACATTTTCACTCCGGTAAGTTCTATATATGTACATATCACACTTTATAGCTTAATAATATTATTGTTGGGGCTCTCGGAGGTTATAGAAATTGCGAAGAAACATAGAATTGAGTGACTGTGCAGACATACGTGCTATGTAACGATTCGCTAATTATTTCGCACAACTGTAGGGAAGTCTGCCTATGAAATGGATCAAACAAATCCAGACTGGGTACCAACGTTACACAGGGGGCACTCCGAAATCCGAACGTGAGGGTTAGGGTTAGGGTTAACAAGATAAGTGAAGATATCGGGGTAGGACAGTGGCGGTAAGTTGTCTGGGTCTTTACTCCACTGCCGTATTTCATATAGGTCCACATTTGCGGTGCACTCTATTTTTTTCAAGTACCGCTGCTTCACCTCTGGACGCAATTGGTCTCTATACCGTCTGTTTTCTTTTGAGCTGCTTTTAAGCATGTTTCTTGTCGTCGTTGTTCCAACACAGTGTGTTTGTTTTGATTTGTGGACCCGGAAAATGGCGCCGCACTCCCACAATACATTGCAGCGTGACGTCAACTCCAAAGCCCTATACTTGCCACCACAACATTGTCACACACTCACTTGTTTTTATACGCGCTGATGCAGTATTCTCCTGAACACTAGGTGTCGCCACTCAGACGATAGCGCATCACATGAGAACTGATATAGGAGAAGAAGTACATTGAGTGTTTTTTCCACAAACTCTCAAGTGTTGACTCTCAAACTGTTCCACCATCTCCCTCTGTATATCTATACGCCTCTGAGCTTCTGTACTGGAATATTAATATGGCAGTAAAAACCAGCACGACTGCAGACTATTGTCTTTAACCCAGTTGTGGCACCCACAGCACAACGCACCATGTTAAAAAAATTGAGATGTGCATGACCAGCCATAGCGCCACAGGATGTGATGTCAAATCTGGTGAGTGACACACAGGACAGAGCAAGCATAATGGCCCATTACTCCTCTAAACATACTTGCTGTCATTGTAGCTAAATCTTTATTTCATTTGATCATAAAGTTTTTGTTTTTTTTTTCGAAGCACGGTGGCACGGTGGTTAGCACTGTTGCCGCACAGCAAGAAGGTCCTGAGTTCAATTCCACCATCAGGCCGGGGTCTTTCTGTGTGGAGTTTGCATGTTCTCCCCGTGTCTGCGTGGGTTCCCTCCGGGTACTCTGGCTTCCTCCCACCGTCCAAAGACATGCAGCTTGTGGGATAGGTTAATTGGATAACCCAAAAAATTGTCACTAGGTGTGAATGTGCAAATGAATGTGAGTGTGAATGGTTGTCTGTCCCTGTGTGTTGGCCCTGCGACAGACTGGCGACCTGTCCAGGGTGTACCCTGCCTCTCGCCCTATGACAGCTGGGATAGGCTCCAGCGCCCCCCTGAAAAGGATAAGCGGAAGTGAATGGATGGATGGATGGATAAAGTTTTTCTCCAGAAGCCATTTCACTTGCCCGTGACCCCAATACGAATATGCCAAAGAGACTGGATGGATGACATTTGACTTGTCCATGTGAGTAGCTGCAAACTTTAGTCAAGCTTGAAGGCGTCGATTTTGCGGCAGGGGCTTCATTTTTGCTCAGTACCCGGTCACTTAACAGCGATGTAAAACTCATTTCAGTATAGGATACTGCTGTTCCAGAAGTTTCCAGTTCACGGCAGCCTTGAGCCCTGGTGGTTCCTGGGTTGTCCCTGAACATCCTAGCCAATTTCCTATCAGCTGAGGGTGATAGTTTGGCCTTTCTCACTATTCTGAGTATTGGTCAGTCCAATAAGTACTGTCAAACAAATCTTTTTTTTCCTTTGCAAAGGGAAACTGCTAGCTGTAGTGAATAGTGATCATTAACAAGTAAACAGACCATGATCTTGTCAATTTAACACTGTAAACCTTCACTTATTAAAAGGTGTAAGTAAATGTATGTATATAATATTTAAACCTGTATGGATACTTTTGTGTGTGTGTGTGTGTGTATTGGAGAAAATCCAAAATAGATTCAAAGTTGTGCAACCAATTCTTGTTTTTTAAAGTCCTTAAAGATGTATGCTGTAAAACCATTCCACGTTGGAAAAAGAACTATTCAAAAAACTCGTTAAAAGCCCCATGATAATCATGCCATGATAAGTACATGTAAACTTCGGACCACAATTGAATGCATGTTAGTGCACCTTTTTAAGCACATATCATCGATTTCGCAATCATGCAAACAAATAACAAAGCACTTGGCGCATCATGCTTACAAAGACTCTTTTTAAAGCCTGCTGTGGTATTTTCCTACAGGGGACCCATAGTTTGGATTTGCTGTATCTGCAAATCACCGTTACAAATACTCTTCGTGATTATTGAGCCCAATTTGCAGAAAAAGGAGCACAACAAAAATGTAGAAATAAATAGAAAAATATATTTCGCTTAAAATGACCACACTGGCTACTCAACATAAATAAGTTTCCGTCATGTATGGAAAAAAATACAGCACACCAAGGAGCTAACGGGATGAGGGAAAATGTCCGTAGCTACAGAGCGGGGAGTAAGCTAGCACCGGGCGCTAGTTAGTGAGTTTGTGTTGTGTAAAGTGGTGAGTTTAAGCTGGGTTACCTCTCGCTGACCAGTACCACGTCGGCATCGCTCCAGTGTTTGAACACACACGGTAAGATCTTCCTGAAGGCGAAGAAGAGACCGGGGAAAACTACGGCGCCACACGCTAAAACTTGCAACATCCTGCTCATATTTTCCTCTCTAGCCGCCGGGACACCTGACTCTCTCTCCCCCTCCGCGAGCTTCGACCGTTTACACGCGGCTGTGAGGCATTTTTCACGCGGCCGGGTTCGGCGTCTTTCACCGGGAACAGTCCACCATCAGCACACACTCGCACATACTCACACACTCACACATACTCCGCCAAGGCTCAGCAGCAGCAGCAGCAGCACCAGTGTTGAGCTAACGGCAAACAGACGTCAACTACCCGTGGAGACTTTCAAAATAAAAGGCGTGACCTGCGTGTTTCCCCTAGCGGAAGCGGTAATATCGCAACACAAACCCCACTAGGCTTTTATTTTGAAGGTCATTCTTTTCGCAGCATTTACGGTAAATTTAACAACTTGGAATTTAACAGTGTTTTATTAAAATTGCGGCTTGTGTTTTCAGCTTAACTTAAATATAGATATTAATGCCTTTGCAGCTGTTGTGTATGTGTTATAGCACATAGACGAACTACCTCCTTTAGCGAAAGTAGTCATACAACAAAATCAGTAGTTGCGTAAGCAGGCATTCAATTTTTTTGTTTCTCCACTTGGGGGCAGTGCAAGTGTTATATCATCACCAAGTTTGTGTGACGGATGTGTTATGGAGCACTTGTCAGCAGATAGAGCTAAATTATCAGATAAGTAAGAGACGGGTGTAGTATTCGCCCTCGGCTGAGCGACTGAGTAAAGCCATGTGTGGCATTTAAATTGTCCTCTGTGCTCAGCAGCTCGTCAGTAATTTGTTGCTGCTGAAAGCAGCCTTCTGCCATTGGAAATAAGGGGTTATGTAAATGATGAAAATCCTTCAACAGCAAATTAAAAGAGGTTAAAGAGCCATGGGGCTTAGAAAGAGAGATAGAGAGAAAACCTTCCGCCAATGAATTAACACCGGTGACTCTGTCTCTGTATCTGTCCACCTCTCATCTGAGGTCATCAGTCTCAGATACTGCTATCAGCTGTCAAGTAAACACTCTCTTTAAAGTCAGTTAACCTGACTTCGCTCAGCTCTGTCAGGTAGTAATATAACCCCCCCCCCCCCCCCTAATACTAATTTCCATATATGCCACACCTAAATTCACCGTCCTTGGACATTCCACAAAGTGGATGGAACTGTTAAAAATGTAACCATTTTATTTGCAAGAAAAACAAAGTGCGGGCCATGATTCAATACCCTGCAGAACCACTTTTAGATGATCAAATTCTTGAATATATTGTTTTCTGCATGACTTTTTCTCTCACATTGTTGTGGGGAAATTTGGGTGGCTTCAGTTCACTGAGGTTTGTAAGTATTTGTTTATGCAATACTTGGTCAATGCATCACCTTGACTCTGTTCTTTTTCCTGTTTAGGATCATTGTCCTGTTGCATGAACCAGTTTTAAGCAATCTTTAGCTGTCAGACAGACGGCCTCACATCTGACTCTAGAATACTTTGGTGTACAGAGGTCGATTCAATGACTACAAGGTGCCCAGATCCTGCGGCTCCCTCCACCACCGTGTTTATGCTGTGGTGATCATAATCCCTGTGGATATGCTGTGTTTGATTGTGATTATGGCCAAACCTCTCCACTTTGGTCTGCACAGGTGACATTGTTCCAGGAGAGGTGTGATTATCTTGCTGCCATCTTATTTTAAGAGAGAAAAGGCTTTCCCCTGGCAACTCTTTTAAACAAGCCATGCTTGCTCAGTCTTGTTCTAATCGTACTGTCATGAATTATAATATTTAACATGGTAACTGAGGCCACTAGGGTCTGAGGTGTAGCTCTTTGGTTTTTAGCAGTTTCTTAGAGAATTACACGGTCTGACTTTAGGATGAATTTGCTGGGACATCCACTCCTGGGAGGATTGTGACCGTCAAACTCCCCAAACCTTTTATGTGGGTAGTCTCATTAGCTAACGATCATTAAATCATGTGCATGTGTTTAGCAGCACCTTGATCTCTTAACTCCATTTGGAACAGTAAGACCATGCTTTTACAATCCTGCACAGGTACCTGTGAAATTCTTTTCACATGATTAACTATATTTTCCACATGATCCACACACCAGCTAGTATTGATCAGGCTATAATAGGTGCATTCATTGGCATGAATGTCAATAGAATAGAATTCAGATTAATCTAATTAAACCCTAAAATTAAAACGTGATGGCGTTATGAGGGACAGAGGAACTCACAAACAAGATGCCAAAGCAACAGTGCTTGAGATGATAGATTAATAATAAAAGATAATCACTATCTGACAGTTATATACAAGTAAGTTATAAGTTATATACAAGTAATCAGTAAATAGCAGACTTGCTATGAAGTATCAGATAAACAGAAAAATGTCAGAGTTTCTAAAACCCACAAGTTGCACTACATGCATTACTGACTATATTAATTTCTGTGTGGATAACACCGTACCTACCAGGACTGTACGGTGTTTCTCCAACAACAAACCTTGGATTACCCCAGAAATTAAAGCTGTCCTCAAGCAGAAGAGGAGGGCCTTCAAATCCAAAGACAAAGAGGAGTTGAAAAGGGTGCAGAGAGAGTTGAGGGGACTGATAAGGAATGGGAAGGACAGCTACAGGCAGAAGATGGAGAACCAGCTTCAGCAAAACAACGTTGGTGAAGTCTGGAGAGGCCTCAGAACCATCTCAGGCCACAAACAGCAGAACTCTCTGCCTGGGAGGGATGTGAGGTGGGCAAATGAACTGAATCATTTCTTCAACAGATTTGATTCAACCATGAGACAGTCTACAACATCGGCTGCAGACTCACCCACCCCCACTGCTGCTGTTCCACCTCAGACACCTCAGACACTTCACACCTCCTCTATTCACCCTGCTCACTCCCCCCCACCCCCAACAACAGCATCCAATACACACTCAACACAAGGCTCCAGCCTGTCTCTCTCAACCACCCAGGTTAGGAGGGAACTGAGGAGGATTAATGGCAAGAAGGCAGCGGGCCCAGATGGCATCAGCTCGAGGGTCGTCAGGTCCTGCGCGGACCAACTGTGTGGGGTGATGGAGCACCTCTTCAACCTGAGCCTGAGGTTGGGAAGAGTCCCACAGCTCTGGAAAACCTCCTGTGTTGTACCAGTGCCAAAGACTTCACGCCCCAAGGACCTCAACAGCTACGGGCCGGTGGCTCTGACATCCCACCTGATGAAGACCCTGGAGCGGTTGGTCCTGGCTCAGCTTCGGCGTCTAACAAGCTCATCACTGGACCCACTTCAGTTTGCCTACCAGCCTGGCATTGGCGCGGATGATGCCGTCATTCACCTCCTACATCGTTCCCTCGCTCACCTGGAGACCGCTGGAAGCACTGTGAGAATCATGTTCTTTGATTTCTCCAGTGCCTTCAACACCATTCTTCCCTCGGTTCTAAAGGACAAGCTGGAGAACTCTGGAGTGGACCATCACCTCACTACCTGGATTTTGGACTACCTCACCAACCGACCACAGTATGTGAGGACTCAGGGCTGTGTGTCGGACAGGGTCGTCTGCAGTACGGGGGCCCCACAGGGAACGGTTCTGGCTCCGTTCCTCTTCACCATCTACACTGCAGACTTCTCCCACAATTCCACCCAGTGCTTCCTGCAGAAGTTCTCTGATGACTCTGCAATAGTCGGCCTCATCACTGATGGGGACGACAAGGAGTACAGAGGACTGACTCAAGACTTTGTGGACTGGTGCCAGCTGAACTACCTCCAGATCAACGCCAGTAAAACCAAGGAGCTGGTGGTAGACTTCCGCAGGCACAAGCATTCTCCACTGCAACCACTGAACATCCAAGGTATGGACATTGAGGCTGTGGACAGCTACAGGTACCTTGGTGTTCATCTGAACAACAGACTGGACTGGACTCATAACTCAGATGCCCTCTACAGAAAAGGGCAGAGCAGGCTGTACCTGCTGCGGAGACTCAGGTCGTTTGGGGTGGAGGGCCCACTCCTGAAGACCTTCTATGACTCTGTGGTGGCTTCTGCTATCTTTTATGGTGTGGTCTGCTGGGGCGGCAGCATCTCTGCTGGGGACAGGAAGAGACTGAACAGGGTGATCCGAAGGGCCAGCTCTGTTCTAGGATGCCCTCTGGACCCAGTGGAGGTGGTGAGTGACAGGAGAACGGCGGCTAAGCTGTCATCCCTGTTGGACAACGTCTCCCACCCCATGCAGCAGACTGTGACAGCACTGAGCAGCTCCTTCAGTGGGAGACTGCGGCACCCACGGTGTGGGACGGAGAGATTTCGCAGGTCTTTCCTCCCCACTGCTGTCAGACTCCACAACAAAGACTTTAACTGAACAAACACACACATCCACACATGTGCAATAACACTAAGTGCAATAATCTTTTCTGGCATCGTTGTATTTTTACTCAGTTGTATATAGCATTCGTATTCTATTTTTATCTTATTGTATATTTTTATTCTATTTTATTCTACTGTATATAGTATATTATTTTATTCTATTCTGTACAGCTGTGTACTGTATTTATTCTTATTGTATTCTAATTTTTGCGTCATAACTTTTGCACTGTCCACTTCCTGCTGTGACAAAACAAATTTCCCACGTGTGGGACTAATAAAGGTTATCTTATCTTATCTTATCTTTAAAAAGCTCCACCATGACAACACGCCTGTGATTCCTTATTGTAAATGTGACCATTTTGAGATGTTTCATTTCCTCTGAAAATGTGTAACGATGAATAAAAAGTGAAGAAATCTAAAGTGTAAAGTCTAAAGTGTGCGTGTGGCTGCCGGATGAGTGTTTGATTGTTTCAGAAACAGGCATGACCTTTGTCAGAGACACTAAAGATCTTTGAAGGGAGTGTAATGTGTAAACCACATCTGTCCTGAAAGGAGCCATAAATGCTATCGGAATTCCACGAAGGGGTAATAGGGCTACGTACAATATATTATTGATCATTTTGAGAATACAGTTGAAATTTCGAGATACAATTAGAAATATTAGTTGGCAATATTTGTAGATGACTTAGTTAAATCGTACTTCAGTATCAGCTTAGGTAACAGGAAATGGATTTCTCTTGGCCTGGCTTGTGCAAAATAAAGTGGCTGGCGATTGGTTACACCCTCGTGCAGCAATGAGGATGTACGCCGTATCACAATGCACGATAAGACGGCGGATCAACTCATTTCACTAACTCATCTACACGAGGCTATTTTGTAGCAGGTGTAGGAGCTGCGGC